CTTTCCAAGACTTCGCAGCGCTCCTTTTCTCCAGATACAACGCCACGATCCATTGTTAGGATCAGAGGTGGATCTCCAACGGCTAATGCACGATCGCGTGTATCTTGCTGAAGAGAATGGCGAGCTAAACTGGAAGAAGAACGTTCTACCAGATGTTGGTTAGTCGAATATTTGAATCTCTAACGCTAAGGATTTTTATGTGATTGCTGCATTTGAACCTATTTCAGATTTTGATTGGAGCACTTATCTGCAGAATCAAAATCCTAGGCTGAAGTTCGACAAATCAATACAGATCGAACCCATTCCGCTGGATAACGAGTTCATTACGCGGTGGGAGCGACTGAGGGTCAGTCACTTTCACATCTATACGTCTAGAAACATTTTTGGGCGCAGTTCGGCGACGGGGGGCATTTTGCACTTTCAGCTAGTTTCCATAGGCGTATCGATCCTTTAAGTAGAGACCTATGTAAAGCCACCCAACTGTCAACACTTGTCATAAGTAGAGTACCTGTTAACTCTTGAAAATTCATGCGCTGAAATGCATTTCATGAGATATCTCTTGTGCTGACAAGAGTTGACAGGTTTCATCGAAATTCATCAAAACGAGACCTGAAAACAGGAACTGATTATAGCGGAAGTGCAAAGTGCCCCCCCCCCCTCCCCTTCCGTCGCCGAACTGTTCTCGTTTTCAGATTTTGCAGAAGTACCTGTTTGTTATGTAAAGGAAGGGGATAAGGTAGAGGAAAAGTGTAGTGGTAGATGGCTTCGCTGTGAGATAGTCAACTCCCGGATGGGTTCTCACCTAAATCAACCAGGGCTCCCGCCCACCCAGAGCACGTCGTACGTTGGAAATCGCCTACGAGCGGTCGTACCTGATCTTGATGTAGTTACTGATTTTTCGTGTTTCACGCGCGCAGCACGCCTAGCGGGCACAACAAAACCGCTATCTCCTGTAGTTGGAGTTCACCCAGGCTCTCATAACTCACACTCCCTCATCTACGGTAAAATTGTGGAAACGATTGGAAAGATGATTGGTCGGTTGTAAAAAGGAGTCTTACCTCATAAGAAGGTTCAGGCGGAAGGGGATTATATTCAGCAAAATCACAACCAGGTCATCTGGGATCATCGGATTCGGTGACAGACCAACCTGGAAGGATGAATACACCTCCAGGGACAACAACTGGCTGGCCTCGTAGCTGTTCAGATCAAACCGCATTAAAATGCCAGTATGATGAAGAATAGGTTCACCAATTTTTCAGATAATTGTAGTACTTTAACAAACTCTTCAGCGGTTGCAGCACAACAATCGCAGGCAATGTATTGTCAAGAGCAAAATCTGGACAATGGTCTGGGACATCCCGAATTTTCTCTCAGTGACCACTGTTTTTCAGAATCAGCGCCACCGAAACGAGTTGGGGTTCTTTGCTCAGACTGAAGAAAGGTTGGAAGGAGTCGTATCAGCCGGTACGATTTGATCGCGCTTATTGCAATGGCTCAGGCACTTTCTAGGTTTCGCAATGACTCGCGTTGACGAGTTGCAACAGCGCTCCAGTCTTGGGACGCGAACGCAGCTACAGACGAGAATCGATCGGAGCCGTGGGCCAGAGCCGATCGATAGAATGCGTGACAGAAAAACGTTGGGCTTATATACCTCTCATTATGATGAGGCGGGAGGGATTGAATCGATTCGCCCGCTGTCCGATTCTAGGCCTAAATAGCGTTACACGCGTCGAACGCGCTGTCCAATCGCGAAGTTCCTGAAAAGCTGTCTCAAAGACACCTTACTGTATGGTCGCAGCATGTAAGCGACCTGGCGCGCCTTTCCGTCTTACTTTATCGCCCTAGAGAGTGGAAAGAAGAGTTGCATGCCAATGATATGCTGCTCCCATTCTGCACAGCTGGCGCCTCCTTCAAGGGTTACGTTGACATCTTGAAGCTTTTTGCGCATCGACCTGTTGGCCAAACCACTGTGACGCAGACAGAAGTCCCTGTTAACGTAAAAGCATAGCCCCTGACCAAGAACAGTCGAATAATGTGCAGGAAAACAATATGGCGACAAGGATACGGGCATCTTATAAAAAGGGACGACTCCAGGGTAGATGAGGCGCACCTTGTTAGCAAAAAGCCCATGGAATAATCTCAGCTACAATGACCAACAGACACGCCATACACGAGAAAGACAGAGAAAAACTGGATGACGCTTTTCAAGGGATTAAAGTTCAGGTTGTCCGTAGACCTCCATTCGAGAGCGATTTTCTTTCCATGAAGGTGTAGCTCGAGACATTGAGGCCGTCATTGACGCAAGCCAACTTAATGTAGTCATCCAGAGACGTCTTGATTACAGGCGGTCCGTCCAAAATGTCGCAGACCTCTGACCGGTTTCAACGGCTGGCAGCAGCGCAGCGCGCACGTAGAAACTGTTAGCGACGTTCAGCTGTTTCCGGCTGGTCTGGTACAATTTTTTTAGCCTATATTTTTCACTGTTTCTGGCTGTTTTTTTCTCAAGGTTAATTGTTCCTTACTTTGTACAAGGTGAATTATGTTTGAGAAAATTCTCCATTATTTTTGGCGAAAAAAGTTGCACAATTTAAACAGACCATTTAACAATATACATGAAAAAAATCATCAGAAACACTTCATTACAAAAGGCAAAAAAAGATCCAGCGTCTGATATATTCCTAAGAACATAAACCAAACTTACGTGGAAAAGAAATAACACTCTAATTCGCTGGGGGACGTTGGCGTGTCAAGGCCATTTTGGGTGTGTCACCATCTATAAGACCGTTTTTCTTCTTGTTTGAAGCGCGCATGCGACAAAAGTTGTAGAAAACGAGTAATGCGAACGATATGATACAGTCATATCATTTGCTCGCTTCAACAACTGGTGGAGAACGGGTTTGGCACCGCGCCAAACTCATCCCGCCTGACACGCCCAACCGTCCGCAGCGAACTACACTATAGAAAATACAGCAAAAAATTGGGAGAAAATGATCGCCGCCAACAGTTCCTACGTCACGCGGTCGCTGCTGCAGCCGCGCCTGCGACCCTTTAATCGCCTAATCAACTGCCCGGATGACGACTGTACTCCCAGACAGCTAGCTCAAGGAGCACTTCGGAGCTGGAAATGCAAACGATGCCCCAGATATGCTGAAATGCGCCCTCATCTTCTTCTCTCAACAGCGCTGTAATAGCGCTAGGCCACTTGGGCTGCGTTCAGAGTTCACGATGTGCTTCGAAGCCCAGTACCTAGTGCTCCAGCGCTATAAAAGGGATCGATCCGCGCCTGTGTTTAACAGAGTGAAAGTTGCGTAGGCTAAAATCTGGCACCCTATTCCTTCCCATATACTCTACCATAACACTAGCGGCCCTCCGATCGATACCTGTCTGTTGCATTGGAGCGCTACTGCAGTTGGTTGCGCGTCATTGCGATTTATTGCCCTTTGATTGTAACCTTATTGTACCACAATAATTTTATGTTAAGGTAACCCGTTGACGCTGCACGTAGCCATTCTCACCACAACTGCCGCTCTTCTGTATTGGATACGATGAACGTTGCCTTTTTGGGCATAAATCGTAATCCTTATAGCGCGCAGGCAGTAACTCTGGTGATAACGTCTCCGGCAATTAATCTTCGTTGGTCCCAACTGTACTTCGCCTGCACTCTGCTCGATCTCCATGTGAATAGTTCAGATATTCTTTCGACATTTTTCGTTGTTCTGCCCCGGTATTATCGCGCAATGCCGGCTGTAGAATTGTACAGTTTTCTTGTTGTCTGTTCATTTAATTTTCAATGTGTTTTGAAAAAGAATAAATGTAAATTTGTTGTGAAAGAGGTGGTCCCACCAGATTGATGCCTATATGCGCCAAATAGCGCCAGCGCCATAATGCACTGGTTTCAATGTAGCACAGAGCAAGAACCAGGACCCGCAGACTGTACAGTTGCCTCCAAAGGCAGAGTCCGCGGTCAGATATTCTGTTGGCAGGGTACAGCATCGTGATGTGTGAGGTGGTGGTGTAGGTAG